ACGTGAGCGGGGTCGCTTCCACCGTCCACCCCGTCGTCGTGGGGGAAACCGGGAGGGCTTCGAGGCCCGTTGACCATCAAGACCTCCGCCGCCGGATCGCTGTTGTCGCACTCGGATGCGGTCTCTACGGAGCCAGTTGACAGGTCGAACAGGTCGTAGAGAGATTCGTCGGGCTCGATTGCCGCGACTTGGGTGGTGGCCGACTGGCGGGCCACCGCGTGTCTCACCCACCGCTGGAGCCTCGACCGACCAGAGCGCTTGCGCTGGCGGGAGACTGGGAGGGAGGACGATAGGGGAGTCGATCGATAAGGAGTCGACGGCTGCCGCAGCAGAACGCCGCAGACACACGCCCGAAAATGCGTCGCCCCGCGGATGAGGAGCGCGTCGATGTCGAGTGGAGCTTCCTGGAGCCAAGCGGAGTCGTCGGCGATGAAGGTGAGCGCGCCGAGACGGATCTCGCGGCCCTCGACCAAAACTCCACCAGAAACCATGATGAAGGCAATCGGAACAATTGCAACTTCTCCAAAAATCGCTAAGACACCTGCCCCATGGTGGGCGCCAACTGTCGTGGTTCTAAGTCTGACAGTAGAATGGGGGGTAGGTATGGAGAGGCAAGATCCAGCTATGGAGCAGTTGTAAACACAAGGGATGTACAAGTTCAGGCCCTTCTCGGAGGAAGTAACAGCCCTACGTCTCGGAGCCCGGAGGCGGTCGACTGGATTATGAGTGTATAGGTTACAAGGGTGCGGACCCTTTACACTGAGGAGGGGGGTGGCTTATATAGTGTCTGCCAGACCCCTTCGGCCCTCAGTTATGCAGGGTTTAAAGTACATTAAGGCTAGGCGTTACTGGTAATGCCTTACATAAAGTGTCCTAAATGCCATAAAGACTACTTAATTACAGACCGTTTGGATGCAGAGTGACTCTTGATCTCTTGGTGGTCGAGTGAGTCTTCATGGTCGAGTCCTTCGAGTCCGTCGAGTGAAGTCTCTCTTGGTCGACTGGAAGGCAGCTTCTTCTGAGGGTGTCCTTGGGAAGGGTACTTAGGTCAGGTCCATGACCCTGCCCTAGGTACATGACTTCATCAGGGGCCGCATGTCCGAACTGACGTGTGGTGGATAGTCCAGAAAGCCTCAATTCTCTCCCACATATGGGCTGGTTCTGGGATTGAGGAGTGGCACATGCGTCGGAGAAGAAAGTGGTGGCCCATTTGGGGTTAGAGGGTTAGTGTGGAAAAAATCGGGAAACTTTTAGATTCAAGCGACTCATCATCCACAAGCATTAGTCGCCTCTAGCTTTCACCACGTGTCGGTGTGGGCCCCTACCACATGCCCATTCCAAAGACATCTCCTACGCCCACATCCCCATCCCCTACCTCTCCTATCTTTCTCTCGCTCATCTTTCTCTCATGTCGGTGCCGTTGCAGCACCCACCATCGCCGCAAGGGATGTTGCAACCATGTGCCCTGTTGTTGGTTCAAGGGATGTTGCAAGTCGTGCACCTACCCTCGGTATTGCAATCCCACCACACCACGCAACGACAATTGATGATGTCGCTACCGCTTCTGTCATTGTTCGTTGCTCTGAGCACCCAATCATTAGAGTTGCAATAGGTATCACCGACGCTTCAAAGGGGACCCGTCCTCGTGCTACAAGGGGTGGTGTCGATGCTGCAACAAGGGATGCCGCTGCAACGAGGTCGTCGGTTGTGCCGCAAGGGAGAGATGTCGGCTGCTACAGTGAGGGGTCGCCATCGGCGATGCTGTTTTTCGCAAGCATGCGACACGATGAAGGTCCAGCTCTGTCTTGCAGCATTGCTTGTAGCAGCAACACCCAGGTCGTCACCGCATGATCGTTGCACCGTCGCCCGTAGCAGTTGCAACAACTGTCGACCGCTTCGCATCAACGATGCCACTTGCTCTTCGCAGCATTGGTTCAAATGAATTGGTGCTACAAAAGGGTCGCCACCGACGCTTTGCCGATGTTGCAAAGGGGGTCATCAGGGAGACATGGGACGACAAGGAAGGGGGACATAGGGACAGGGAACGACAAGGAACGTGGGTGAGACGGGGTGGTAAGGTGAGGTGGAAACTATGTTGCCACAATCAAAGCATCACTGGAGGCTGATCGGACTGTTGGCGACGTGGCTGATCCTTGGGATGGAGCGCCCGCCAAAATATCTCTGTTGTGTTTGTTGATGCGACCCTTGTTTGGTGTATATGTGTAGAACAGTAGAAGTACTATAAAAGGCAAAAGTGGAGTACACAAAAAGGCAACATGATGCGAACCAATCTGTTGTTGGATGGTTACGAGGACAGTGATATAGTTCAACGGAAGGAGACGTTCACGTTGACTACGAGGCGCCTATGATGACTTGATAAATCTTAAGATGATATGTCAGCGGAGATGCTCATAGGGGCAGAGTGTGCGTTCATAGGGTGGGTGTATGCGCGTATATACGAACACTTGCGTCTATACTGTGATTAAAAAAAACAAGGCAACATGATTTAAACCTATTCAATCTCTATCTCATCTTATGTCTGATCTCTAGTAACCCACACGTTTATACTTGTGACTTGTTCTGGAACGGCAGTCGGATTAAAATCCGAAGAACATTAGGAGGGTCAATCCGTTCACCGCACCAATCGGAAACGCGTAGGCCGCCCCTCCCTCTCTCACGATGCTGATATAAATCATATACGAACCCTGCAGTCGACGCACCACGACCTCACCCCTTGGCGCGCGCGGATTCGATACGACTGCTGCAGATCAAAGCACGCAGCCGGCCATGGCGGATCATGGCCCTACTCACCAGGAGGAGGACGACTCGTAAGTTTTCTGCTCCTGCATGCAAATTTCATCTCCGCCGTGCCGTCGTCTGCTGTGTTGTTCTTCCCCTTTTCCCCTTGTGAATTGTGATCGAGCGAAAGCACTACCGCCTAGTCTCTCCAAAATCTCTGTAATCTGGACTGTTATCCCCTACCGTAATTGCTGCTGTAATCCTTGGGCTTGCCTACTTTTCAATTGAAATTTCGGCTGCGGAACCTAATTAGTTTTTTTTTCTTTTTGCCTTTTTTTAACTTACACGTGCATACACTCACCCCTATGAACGCACACACGCACACCCTATCCCTATGAGCACCTCCGAAAGACTGAGCCGGCATATCATCTTGAAATTTACGAAGTCACCGTAGGCACCTCGTCGTCGGCGGGAACGTCTCCTCCCACTGGATGCACATCGCCGGAAATCCTGAAATAAATCCAGAAATAAATGCGAGCACCAGGATTTAAACCCTGGTGGGCTGGGGATACCACAGTCCCTCTAACCATCCAACCACAGGTTGGTTCGCTGTATGATTGGTTTTAGATGAGCAATGCTACACCTAGGTAAAGTTACGTACAGATTTTACTTAACAGGTATCGTGTAGGATTGGGATTGGACGAAAGGGTGTGGCTGGGGCCCACACGGGTGAAAATAGGGGGGGGGGGGTAGATTTGTTAGGTAGGTTACGTAACTCTTCGTACGTTGCTTTAGTAGGTGTAGTATTATTGGTTTTAGATATGTGCTCAGACTCACTTTTCATCCTTTTTGACAACATAACATGGTAATATATTCGCAAATTTCTGTGAATTATCCAAACAACTGTGTGTTCTTGTGTTCTTAGCTTCTGTCTAAATTCAAAAGATATGACGTCCAACTCTTGCATTTTTTTTAATTCGTGAAGGGCATGCCGGACGCAATGGTGAAAAATAGGCAAGATATAAATAGTTGTGTAAATAAAGTTTTCCTATTATATTGAGTGTTGTCCTAGAAGGTACTATAATACAAGACTGGAGCGATCTATAGCCTTCAAGCATACCGACGTGAGTTAAAACATGGTCAATCCTTCTAAAACGTGTGATGATAGGAAAACATGAGAGGATTTGGGTACGCATGCGCGGGAGCATTGATCCCATTTTTTTGGCTTTTAAATATGAAATCTACTACGTATTTTTTTTTGAGCTGGAAGTCTAATTTAAGTTTCGTTTGCATATTTGTGTTTCTTGTAACGAGGTCTTTGAAATAAGATCACTTTCAACACACTTCGACACGTCTTAAAAACTTAAGTGAGCTTCAACTACTGAAATTTGTTACGAATTCATTAAGTTTCAGAAACTAAAACTAAAAAACATACAGACAATCCAACAAGTTTACTGATAGTGAAGCAATTGTGCGGTTGGGCAAATGCATGCCCCCGCAGCCACGTGGCGATGTCAAAGTGTCAAACCCAAAACCTCCTAACACCAGTGAATTAAAAAAATCAATGATAAAATGTCATAAACAAACATAATTAACTCATGATCGAATGTATGAGAGGGGTGAAAGGGGATGTGGTGGGGGGAAGGAAGACTAGGTATGACCACTCATGAGTCGTGACGTAATGTACTTCCTCCATACAGAATTACTTGTCTCGGAAATTGATGTATCTAGAACTAAAATACGTCTAGATACATCCATTTCTGCAACAAGTAATTCCGAATGGAGGGAGTATAATCTAGCATGATGCTCGTCCCATGTCTCCCCCGTTGCGATACGACGACCGTGCACACCTTGAGCTCCATTCTCTTTATTACACTCCTCATCAGGCCATCTATCCAACTCAGCCCATTGGCTCTAGTTTTGCTCTGGTTTTGCCGTCATTTTTGCCTATCACCCTAATTATGCAATCCTTATCGCCTTTGGCCCCTCCACATTCCATAACTAAAAAGTAATTCTATTTTAATTTTCTTATTACCATTTAATTAATAGAAGTATAAATCGTACTACCCTCTTGTTGCATGATACTTCATTAAAAATAGAAAAAAGAAAGAAAACGTGCATGGTGCTCCCAAAAATTCCCCAAATTAAACCCTCACAGATAAAACAGAGCAGCAGTGCACCCCCAAATTCCCCAAATTAAACCCTCGCTCGCCGCCCTCCTCCGCCTCCGGCGTCGCCTCGCCGGCACGCCGTGACCCACCATGTCCATGGACGACTGCTTCATCCCGCTCCCGTCCCCACTCCATGACCGCTGGCGGTGCGGCTCTCACCCCTGCCTCTCCCAGCTAGATCTGGACGAGCGCGCGGCCGCCGGTTCTGGCACGGCGGTCGAGGGAGCTGCCTCGCATGGCGTTCCCAGACGCATCCTGCGGAGCCCTAACCGCCCACTCGCCGTCCCCCCGAGGCGCCCCCCTCCTCCTCCCCTCGATCCGCTGCCTACGTACGTCAAGGAGCCCTACCTGCCGATGTCTCCCGTTCAGTCTAGCTGTTCTGATCTATCAATTTGCTCTAATCATGTTCAATTCGTTCCTAAACTAGGCCACTATGTGTGTCTGTTTTGAAGAACAAATCATTTCCGTTCAAAAATGTGCTGAAATTGGAAATGAATCTAAGAACAAATTCTTGTGGTTCTGAATTTGCTGAAATTGGAAATGTGTCTGAGAACAATTTCTTATGGTTCTGAAACTTTGCTGAAACTAGTAATGTATCTGAGAAGGCGAGAACAAATTATTAATAGAATTCTAGGGGTTGCTGAAATTTTAGAATACTAATAGACTGTGTTGACGACTCTGCTTCATTTTACTGTTATGCTGATTAAATCATATGTTATGGTTCAAGGTATAAGGGGGGTTCGCTGCATGCCTTCCCAGAGGAGGAGCCAAAGCAACACCAAGTCGCAGTTTCACGCGCCGCTTCTAAGGGGAGATATGCAAGGTAATAAAACTCCTAACATCTTCAGTTTTTTTTCTGGGCTGCTCTCTGTTCAACACCAGTGTGCATGGTCATTTTGCATTCTGAAATGTGATTTCCAGATCTATAGCTCAAATACTCTGGTTCCCATTGTTAACTTGTCCACTTTTGTTTATGTTCTCCTGTTCCCATATGGTTAGCCTGATTTTGTTCTTAAAAAATAAACATTCTACACTGCAGAGTGCATCAGTGATGGGCTAAGAATTGTACTGAAAACAGAGCAGTGCTATCGGTTCCAAAAACATTCTCTGATTCTAAAATTTACTGAAATTACAATAAAATATACAGAATGTGTCGATAACTCTGTTCCCTTCACTATATTCTATTTAACACATGTGTCCTGGTTCAGGTTTAAAGAGAATTTGAATGCCAAGCCACAGGAGACGAAGCAACACCACCATCAAGTTGCTGTCTCATGTGCCGCTTCAAAAGGGAGGTATGCAAGTTGAACACTCCTAACCTCTTATTTATTTATTTTGGATTGCTCTTTGCACAACACCATTGTGCATCTTCACTTGGCATTCTGAAATGTCATTGCAAGATCAATAACCCAAATCCTCTGGTTCCCAGTATTAAGTCGTCCATTTTTTGCTTATATTACAAACAGTTTTTCCACGAAATTGGTTAACACAACCCCTCCCGTTAACATTCTACATGTAAGCTGCATCTGTGACGGGCTTAGAACTGTGCTGAAACACTCAGCAATCCGTTAAAAATAAATTATCACAACCTCATGTTTTGCTCTCATTGTGTTGTGTCATGTAGTTCTTGGCCCGTTTCTGCGATGCAGCTGTTTCTTTCCGGCATCCCCACCTGACAGCTGTTCAATTCACCATGTCAAATTTTAATTCTAAACAATCTTGACAAGTTTTTAAGCATGTTTCAACAACTCTGCATGCACCTTCATCATAAAAGAAAATCAAATCGGTAAATCTGTCAAATTTTTATTCTGAACAAATGCGACGAGTTTTTAATCATGTTTTGAGAACTCTGCATGCACCTTCATCATGAAAGAAAAGCATCTGGGTAAATGATGCACTTAACATTTCTCACATTACGGCATGATATATGTGGATTTTTTTGGGGGGGCATAACAATCAATTCGCAATAATGAATCAGGAATCGAAATGGTTGGATGTCCCATGAGAGGAGCACTCCTGAAGGTATCAATATGGAGGAACATGCTTTGAGGTTTCAGCCTCTGCCCCCAGCCAGATGGACGGGTGACTTTGACCTGCCTTCCATCGGAATTCCACCTGTAATTCGAAAGAGGAAACCTCCGGAGGTGAGGAATGCACTCCGCGAAAGAAGAGTCGCTGCCAAGCAAAAGGATGCGCGCTACCACGCGGAGGTGGCCCTGCGTAAATACAACCGAGCGAACAACACCAAGGTCTCTCTCTCTCTCTCTCTCTCTCTCTCTCCGTGTATGTGTGAGGCTGTGACAGTTGGGATTGCTTTTAAGGCTGATTGTCCATTTAAACTTGTCTTGTCTTTCCATTTTCATTTTTCAGTTTGAGCTGGTGGAGGTAAAAGTGATATCTATATTTTACGAGTTTGGAGGGGGCGGCGCCCATTATAACTTCACAGCTAAGCAGCCTGAGGACCAGCAGAATGCTGATGCCGACAGTACCAAGCTATTCTTCTCTGAAGTCGACCTCTATTTTCGGAGTGAGAAAGATGTGATTATGTGCTGTATAGTTGGGGAAAATGACGCAGGTACCTTGTTGGTTTTGTTGACAGTTCATATTGCTACTTTCCTGATTCTTGCCATGTTTCCTTATCGTTCGTGAGGTTTGCATCAGGTCCAATCAGTTGTGTTGTTCGCACATATGCCTTAATCACAATCTTATATTGATACTTGTCTAACTTTTTTATTTGTTCTATCTATGCTGCAGGGCGTTGCTATGGCTGCGAAAACCGCCAGCCTGTTGTTCACCCAAGCAGCGAAGCATATGGCGGTGGTAGTAGTACCTGTATTGACTATCCTGGTTCGGACAGCGATAGCGACAGCGACTAGTACTCGAACCCTGGTGGCTAGTGCTGGCTTGTGTGGCCAGTCTTCTCTCGTGTGTATTGGCTTGCCCTTTGCGAGAATAATCATGGCATGGAGTTTTTTTTTGCGGGGTAATCATGGCATGGAGTTGATCAACTTGAGAAATGTGTCATGTGGGATGGAGGACCTGAGTCTCAACTGAATGTTGTTGTGTGTTACCAATATCCGATAATGACATTTGCTATTGTGATTTGCGTCTTGGCTTGGGATTTGTTTTAAGACCATTCCATTAAGCATAACGGAAATATAACAGTTCCAAAAAGATAACAGGAGATGGGAAAGAAGGAAAGCCGAGTTCAATGCACTGCTGAGAAACCTGTTGCATATGCCTGTCATGAGGGATCAGGCTTGCTTGCTCCCTTTCCATGCTCCCATCCGTGCTCCCACTTCATCCTACGGTTGTCCTTTTCCCTTTTTCTTTTTTAATCTAAACATCTCCCCCCTGATTTTCAGGGGGTGGGGCCGGGTCTTATTTTCTTCCAATCAAATCAAGCCACGTACGCGGGAGCACGGATGGGAGCATGGGAAGGGAGCAGGCAAGTCTCGTCCTGTCATGAGGACGTATTTTTTTTTTGCCTACACCACATATGAAAGTATATTGTTACGAAACTTTTCTTGAACGTGTTGTATGATATTTTGAAAACGGGCTCCATGGAGCCCGTACTCTATTGGTCCTAATTACAAGCCACATGATAGTTCTCAACAATGTTCTCAGACTAAAGCAAGCCCCCAAGCGAGTCCAATAAACCAAATGGAAACCACTAAAAAAACAGAGGATAAAACAGACAATAGATCTGCATTATGAGATGCCAAACTTCACCCCCCCTCGGGCGATCTTTGAGCCACCCCGCAGATCCTCATCAAATTCACCGTGTTGGAGTGAAGAAGCTCAGCTCCAATCTTTACCACCTTCGTCACCCACCTTCTGAATACCTCGCCAGTAAATAAGAAAAGAACAATTTGTGTTCAGAGGAACAATTTGTGTTCAGAGGTAGCTCGATTTCGAGCATTCCAAATAGCCCATGCGATGGCCGCCAGACCAACAATATAAAATCTTTTCCCACCAGGAAGAAAAGATTAACACCATGAAATAATACTGCCATCGATTATCAAGGCACAAATGGTGATTGTGTGCCAGTCTGAGAAATTTCTTTTAGGCATACAACCTATATTTTTGGTTTTCATACTGTCGTAAAGTTGAGTAAGGCAAAATCAAGATATTAAGTGGAAGTAATATATACTCCCTCCGTCGCAAAATTCTTGTCTTAGATTTGTCTAAATACGGATGTATCAAGTCACATTTAGTATTAGATACATCTGTATCTAGACAAACCTAAGACAAGAATTTTTGTGACGGAGGGAGTATTTTCATTCAAAAGAACATGCTTCAAAAAAATGAAGAGAAAGACACCAATAATATTGTACATTGTCATATTTTTTTACCATAAATGCTATGTTTAAGACATTATATTCTTGTGTTAGTATCTTGTATGTCGTTGGGTGGACATTCTTTGCCCTCAAGGTCAAATCCTCCAGCACCGAGCCCACCGGTCATCGTGAATGCATGATTCCAGGTCATTTATCTTTGATCGTTCATTGTGGAAAGTTGTTGAAAAAACCTCGGTAACTTTAGTATAAACGGTAATTTTCACACCGCATATCTGATAAATTATGTACAAACATCACGGTAACTTTGATCGAGGAAAAAGGTTGTTTGAAATATTACTCTGGTAACTTCTTTGTAAATAGGTTGTTTGAAACATTTTTATGAAACACGTAAACATTTGTTAAATGTCACCAACTTTTTTTTTGAATGCTATCAACATTTTTTTAAAGCTGTGGAAATATATTTTTTACACCACATGTTTTTTTTAAAATTTACGACGATGCTTTGGAAATTTAATTAGTTTAGCTTCTGAAATATATGTATTCAGAATATTTCGAAAATACAAACAAAGCAAAAAAAAAACAAAAAAAAAACGAACACCAACGAAGCCCCCGCTGGGCCGGCGCAGGCTGCGCTGAGGCGAGCGCACGCTCTGTCTCGCGGTAGGCGAGACAAAGCGCCCGCCCACCCACACATCCATACGACGACGGGCAACGCGCCGGTTTAACGGTCACGAGGACGGCCGGCAGCTCCATAGCGAGAAGCCGCCCGCCGTCTTCTCCCTCCGCTCCGCTTCCCGCTTGAAACCCCAAGCCCCCGCCGCCGTCCCCCGCCGCCGCCGCCGCCGCCGCGCCATGGTGAGGCTCAGCGCCGACCTGATATGGCACTTCTTCAACGCCGTCAAGGAGCGCGAGCTCGACCTCCGAGGTCCCTGCCCCCTTCCCCATCCCCTTTCCCTTCCCTTCGCCCGTCAGGCAGATCTAGGGTTCTGCCTTCCCCCTCCCTGTCTGACCTGTTCGTTTGGTCTTCTCCTCCTTAGCGGCGGCAGGCAACAAGATCGCCGTCATCGAGAACATCGGCGCCACCGAGGTGAGCTCCACCTCCCCGGCGGAATCTGCTTCTGGAAAAATTGGTACTACTTAGAACGGGTGCAGAGGCAGAAGCTGTCATGCGCTAGATAGTTAGTGATGCAGGAAAATTTAGTATGCACGCCTATCGATTTGCTTGGCGTCCCTTTTCCAGTCCAGTTAATAATGCTGCAGTCTATTTCAAGTTTGATGCTAGCGAGTCGCATCTGTTCTCATGGATTTGTAATCCTTGGCCATGTAAGTAGGGAATTCAACCTTTATGAGTGCGTATTATGCAATGTTATGCTGGGGTTGCTGTCCGTGTTGTGAGTCCTGTTGAGCCTTTTAGGCTTTTAGCTCAGTGTGTGCGCCTAAGAGTGGTGATTTTTTTGTTATTGTTCAGAATAGTGTTTTTTATACCCTGATATACCAGCTAAGGTTGAGAGGAATGAAGCACTGAACTGCATCGTGTAGTAATTTTACAACAGGTACATATATTAGGAGTGGTGCATGTAGAAGTTGCTGCTAGGAGTGTTTATATACTTGATCACCACACCTTTAGTGCTCTGGTTACCGATATGCTTGGCTGCAATTGATGTGGCCACAGAGGCTGGGAGGGGTAAAGTTGTGGTTGCCATATCAAGTTAGCTGACGCTAGTGATGGGAATGTTTCTGTTGGTCATTCGATGCTAGCCGAGTAACATTTCTGCTGGTGGGTTCATAATCCTTGGCCATGCAATAAGCATGCAGTTTTACCTTTATTAGTGCATGCTATGCAATGTTATGCTTGGGTTGCAAGGCGTGACGTGGGTACTGTTTGACCCTTTTTTGTGTTGTGTCCGCCAATGAGTGGTTATCTTGCCGTTACAGTTCAGAATAGTTGGTTTTATACACTGCTATATTAGCTAAGATTGAGAGTAATGAAGTATTGGACTGCATTGTGGTAATTTTAGAAGACGTACAATTACAGGAATGGTGAAGTTGGAAACCTTTTCCCATAACAATAAAGTGCTCTTCACTGTGGAGCAGTGTGCATGTAGAAATTGCTGTTACGAGTGTTTATATACTTGATCACCACACCTTTAGTGATTTGGTTATTGATTTGCCTAAGTGGCTACAGAGGCTGGGAGGGGTAAAGCTGTTGGTGCCCTGTCAAGTTAGCAGGAGTTAGTGATGGGAATGTTTCTGTTGGTCATTCGATGCTAGCCGAGTACCATTTCTGCTGGTGGGTTCATAATCCTTGGCTATGCAATAAGCATGCAGTTTTACCTTTATTAGTGCATGCTATGCAATGTTATGCTGGGGTTGCAAGGCGTGACGTGGGTACTGTTTGACCCTTTTTTGTGTTGTGTCCGCCAATGAGTGGTTATCTTGCCGTTACAATCCAGAATAGTTGGTTTTATACACTGCTATATCAGCTAAGATTGAGAGTAATGAAGTATTGGAATGCATTGTGATAATTTTACAAGACGTACAATTACAGGAGTGTTGAAGTTGGAGACCTTTCGCCATAAAAATAAAGTGCTCTTCACTGTGGAGCAGTGTGCATGTAGAAATTGCTGTTACGAGTGTTTATATACTTGATCACCACACCTTTAGTGATTTGGTTATTGATTTGCCTAAGTGGCTACAGAGGCTGGGAGGGGTAAAGCTGTTGGTGCCCTGTCAAGTTAGCAGGAGTTAGTGATGGGAATGTTTCTATTGGTCATTCGATGCTAGCCGAGTAACATCTCTGCTGGTGGGTTCATAATCCTTGGCCATGTTATAAGCAGGGAGTTTTACCTGTATCAGTCCATGCTATGTAATATTATGCTGGGGGCAAGGCGTGACGTGGGTACTCTTTGAGCATATTTTGTGTAGTGTCCCCACCCAAGAGTGGTGATTTTATTGTTACGGTTCAGAATAGTCTTTTCATGCACTGCTATACCAGCTAAAGTTGATTGGAATGAAGTATTGGAGTGCATTGTGTAGTAATTTTTATTAAACGTGCATATTGAAGGGGTGGTGAAGCTGGAGGCCTTTCCTTCCCCATAAAAATAATTTACTCTTCACTATGAGCAGCGCCCTTGTAGAATTTGCTGCTAGGAGTGTTTATCTACTTGATCACCTCAGCTCTAGTGTTTTGGTTAGTTTTGCTTTCTTCTATGTAGTTGTCCAGGACATAACCGTTCTATAAGAGGCTTGTTATTGTGTTACCAGCCTACTTTCTGGTATGACTCTACCATGAGTGACACACCTCTTGACGTTTTTTATATTAGCAGTGACTTAATATTTGAAATGTTTAGCTTGATTTGAAATTGAAATCATAGGGTTTTCTTTATCTCATTTTGAATTGTTTGTAGTTGCTCCAGTTCCTTCTCTAGCTGTGTAACTCTCTGTTCTTTTGTTTGATAACAGGACAAGTTTGACATGATTGATTTGTCGGACGACGAGATTGTCAAGCTTGAGAACTTCCCTTTCATGAATCGCCTTGGCACCCTGTTAATCAATAACAACAGAATTACACGTATCAATCCCAACCTTGGTGGTAAGAGGAACAACATCTTGTCTTGTTGCCATGTGCTTCTGTCACTTGCATAATTTGCTCCATAGCTTGTCTGTTTCTTCAATTCTCTTTGCTTTGCTGTCATGTAGAGTTTTTACACAAGATGCATACTTTGGTGCTGACGAACAATCGCCTCACAAGTCTTGCGGAGATTGACCCCCTGGCCTCTCTTCCAAAGCTGCAATTTCTCAGCTTACTGGATAATACCGTAACTAAGCAACCAGATTACCGGTTATATGTGATCCACAAGCTGAAGCATCTGCGTTTGCTGGACTTCAAGAAAGTGAAACAGCAGGTTAGCAACCACCAAATTCTTGATAGTACAATTATGTTTTATATTTGAATCATCTGTAGTCAGGCTTGATTTCTTGATTGTCATGTTGTCTAAATATACTTCTTCATAGTGCCAATTATATTTTGTTCTAAATGACATCTGTTTAATTTCACTGCAGTTTTCTCTCATTTGATAGCTAATCATAGTTTCTAAAGTCAACATCCTATGTTTGCATTTTCTTTAATGATGAAACATCATTTACCATTTGTGTGCCACTGTGCTGTATTAAACTTCGCTTGGTTCTTCATATGCTTTTTTTCTCTTTGTTGGGAAACTAACTGTTTATGAATTTTCTTTGTTAATGAACCCAAAATCTAGTGATATAATGTCCGTACATAACATATTTCTTGTATCTATGGCCCACATACATCTGTCAATATATGTTTTGCTTATCTAAGATATGAGTTAGTTCAAATGATTAGCAGCATTGCAGGCTTTGTGGTTTACGGCTTTAAGCTAATGAATAAACTATGTCTGCTTTTAAGTCATATTTATTTTAATTAAAGGGGTAATTCCTAAAGAAAAGGGTAACTGCCATTAATTGACAGTTTATGAGTACTGTCAGCAGTTAATACGCTTTTCTTCTAATCATTTTCTCGATTTCTTTTTTGAATGGAGCTAGGAGTTTTTGATTTATACCATGCCATAGTCATTTTATCATGAAGTTTTTTAGAAGTTGTGGATATGCACAGAAATCCCCTCGCTGCTTGATTTGTTGATTTATTCCCTACAGGTTAATTCATTTCCTTCGGAATGATTCCCAAAATGATTTTGCAATTGACCACAGTAGTGCTGGTAGATAAAGGGGGAAAGGAGCAAGTTTTTTAACTGATTATCTGTGAATTAGATGCATGAATGCCATTGACTGTTTTTTGGCTGGCATGTTCAGTAGCATTATTTGTGCCTGGTTTTGTGTATGTTTCTGAAATTTTGTATGAGATTTTTTTTTTTCTGCAGGAGAGAAGTGAAGCAGCACTAAAATTCCACTCAAAGGAAACAGAGGAGGGGGCAAAGAGGGCTGCTACGAAAGCTTATACTCTAGGACAGGTGCTGGATTCTCATGGTACTACAAAGGACCAGGGCGCTAAAGTAGTCGCTCCAACGCCTGCACAAATCACAGCTATCAAGGTACTTGACTCCCTCTTTCTATTTTGGACACAGCCTGTTCATGTCATTATTGCAAGTTGAGTAGAACCCCTATTATTTGACTGTTGCATTCAGGAACAAAAATGTGGCAAGGTCTTTTACTGCCATGTTTGGTATGGGCTTGATATGCACTTGTTTTAGTGTTACCATGATGTTCATGTCAGCATCTTCTATTCTCCTTTGTAATACATCTGGCTGTGAATTTGTGTTTAACAAGTTTTTCATCTGTAGGCTATTATCGTGAATTCTCAGACACTTGATGAAGTTGCAAGGCTCGAAAAGGTAACAAGCTGTGTGATTATCTCTTGCGCTTTGTGCAGTTTGAGGCACCCTATGCTATGTACTGACATACTCTTGTTTGTCACCGTGATCAGGCATTGAGCACTGGCCAAGTTCCTGCTGAATTTGCGCTCCCCAAGCCTGACACCAACATGGCCCAAGCGTCCGAGGAAGCGGAAGCTGAGAAGATGGAGACAGGCGGTCAGGACCAGGAGGATGGGGCTGATGAGCAGAAGCAAACTGATGAAAGCGCCCTGATTCAAGAGGTACTGATATTTGCAGTGTGTTCCTCCTTATTTGATTGAAACTAGGAGTTATTGATTTATACCATGCCATAATCATTGTCATGAAGTTTTTTAGAAGTTGTGGATATGCACAGAAATCCCGTCGCTAATATGGGCACAGCCTGTTCATGTCGTTATTGCAAGTTGAGTGAACCCCTATTACTTGACTGTTGCATTCAGGGAATAAAATATGGTCAGATAATTTACTGGCATGTTTGGTGTGGACTTGATATTTATATCTTTTAGTTTTACCATGATGTTCATGCTCATCCCAGTTACTGATGCATCCTTTGTTCTCAATTCTGTATCTTAGGTCATGTCGAAAATGTCAGTATCCTCTGTTTTCCTTTGTATATCTGGCTGTGAATTTGTGTTTAACAAGTTCTTTCATTTGTAGGCTGCTATCGTGAACTCTCAGCCACTCGATGAACTTACCAGGCTTGAAAAGGTAACATGCCGTGTGCACATTGTACAGTTTGAAGCACCCTATAATCTTGTTTGTCACTGTGATAAGGCATTGAGCACTGGCCAAGTTCCTGCTGAGTTTGTTATTCTTATTGACCGATGTACATATTTTTATGACACCTTTAGGAATTTCTGGGAGCTGATTTGGACTGCATATATGATACCTTAAGCAACATAGGATCATACAGTATGGTTCTTTTATTTTAACTTTGCTTGTTATTGTAAATGTTGTTAATATGTTCCTAACACATACATTGCAAACACTTGTGTAGTATACAAGAATTTTGAGCGAGCCCCGTTCAATTTCATAGTGAGCTGGCGCAAAAGGTTTTTCCGTGGCTTGCATATTCTGCCGCCGCCCCGGAGGCAGGAACCAGGTAAGCCGTATGCACTAACAATGCTATCATGTTACTACATGTAATCATATGTGATGTCATAGCTCACGGCCACCATGCAGGACGACCGCCGTAGCTCACAGCCATCCCACAAACACCAATGCTACCGATCTAACAATGCTAGCTAAACCGACGTCATTAGTTCACCTCATCTGGGCCAACAAAAGCTGCCACCCTCACTTCACAAGATTGTGTTGCCTGCCATGCTGAACCATGACCCTGCCATATAGAGTCGTCTCTATATCGCATTCCTATGCCGCCACCCAGCTTCTTGCCTAGGCCACTTGCCGCAAAGAGATGTCCGTACAACCTATGTAGACTCTTGCAACCACGCCTCATCAACGACTTAACCAACATGAACAGACAAGGCACCATGTCAGATCCCCTGCTTACCACTAGCTCACTGATGCTTAAGCCACCTTCCAGCCTCGTTTGCCTCTTCTGATAAGCCACCTTCTAGCCAACCGCGCCTCATCACACCTTTATTGGTGGTGCAAGCGAGTACTACTCGTGATATTTGCTTTGGTTTCTACAATGTGGCAAAGCTAACTGTGACGGTTATTTGGGAATGCAGTCCACTAGCGTCTTAAATTGAAGTGCCCACTGTCGCAAGGCAGTGAGGCTACATGCAAGTTGGGAGAAGCTAGATTAGTAGGTTTGATTAGTGCAATGCAGTGAAAGTTGTAACAGTTTGGGTTGTAATAATTTAAGCAATTTTAAGTTCATTCTATTTTTACTCATTACCAGCATGGTAATGTGCCTGTAATAATATGACATTATTATTGACATTACAGATTGTAATAAATCATTCCATTTATTTGACCCTATTCATATTATTCTAAATTATTTTTGTAGTTATGTAATTGTTCTTTTTGATCTTACGTACTTGTACTATCTCTCCTTCACTATTTTGTCTTTTTATTATGTTTTATTTACTTGATCTTTTAACTATCTTTGTCATGGGAGAGACAAGAGGACTAGGATTTTGTATAATCTCTCCATTTGGATATACAATCTATACCCTTAAGAGCAAGTATATGTCAAACAACAACGTATTCAAAATCCTAAGCAGTGTAATCCTCCAATTCCTATAACAATCTTCTAGTCAATCTTATAGCCTAAAAAATACTAATCTTCTAGCCAATCTTACAACCTATCTAATTACACTACTAGATAGCTCTTGCATATGCAAATATTGGCATTGCGGGCCAATGAATCTTGCACGACAATTGCCACGAGTAAAAGGCATGCATGCATGCGGCTAGAAAAGGAGGCATGCAGGACCATTCCAAACTCTGTATTCGCTGGACCCCATGAAACATTTTGTTTTGAACCCTTGTACTGTTCCATGCATTTATTTCACATGATATTTACTTTTTACTAATCCTTTCTACCTAATTTTACACTTTTCTATAGTATATGACTGCATTCTCTAGATACTGCTCCATGTATTATTTTAATTTGACATTAGTTTTCTGCACATTGTTTTTACTTTTTACACGTTTGTAATATATTTATTGTATTTTTCTTTATATATTTATTCTGAATGCACTCTAGTAATGTTGACTGCTCCATGTTTTATTTTAGTTGATATATAGTTTCTACTAAAAAAATAATGTCCTTTATTGGCACACACACCACACATACACAAGTTGTATGACCTTTTGGTCTTTTGGATAAACAAAAAGTGCCTCCGTCCGAATTCGAATCTTAGAGGTTAGAGTATGCCCTCACATTCTCTGGTCCACTGAATGGTGGTTCTTTTCCCCCATCTTTGGATTTTCTTTATGGGTTTGTAATAAATAAAAACTGACTAGTTTAAGTAATATACAGATGATTGTGCGTATCATGCGACACTCGCTCTTATAGAGTGTGGGTTCAAGGTCATGTACGCCAATCGTCTTGTCGGACCTCGAGAGTTCAACATCAAGCTGTCACATAAGCATTTAAAGTTGCTGGTGCATGACTATCTCACATCCAAAGAAGGGAAAGGATCTAAGCCTCGAGATCATCTGCTCATTTGCCTTCGGATGGCCATGCGGCACGGTGTGATCAGTGAGAAGGACTACGACAACGGGCGCTTAGCAGAGGTAATTAAGATACAAATATTGTACATGGGGTATAAGTATCATTAGCAGTTTTTCAGAAGATGCGAAATAATACTAGTATTAATAACGGTTATTTAATGCTTTGTAGGCAATTCGCTATTATATTCTCTCTTACACGGAGCTGTCGGCGGATCAGATGCGGAGGATCCCTTGTATGTTGCAGGATGACGCGAAGATGGTGCTCACAAGCTTTCGAGTTACTCCTAGATACAGGGTCCTGTTGCCGCACGAGATCTACCGGTACGTGCCATCTGAGGATCCAGCTTGCCAGCCGTGGACGGGCGACAAGAAGCCTTCGCACCTGTCCCACTGCGTCGTGCTGACGGGGCCTGGCCTAGCTTACAAGGCGCCGGAGGAGTGCGACACGGAGGCCGAGTTGAGCACACCCGAGAGGTACTTCGAGTACCTAAACAGCTACAGCTCCGGGCACGGCGTCGATGGCTGCGGTTTCATCTTCGGCGACAGCATCCGTAAGTGTTACATCGTCGATGTCTGAAGAGCCAGACGTTGATGTGTATAGTAGAGCCTTCCACGACGCCTTGTTGATGTGCATGATGGATGGACAGTCATGGGTGTATATGGTACGTAGAAAGAGAACAACGAAGAAATGACACGTACGTACACGCACGCGTAACACGTACGGATTCGATGCTAACCCAGACTGGTCGCGCTACACGTTATCTTGCTTATTTTGAGTACCCTTATTATTGCTACCGCCGCCCTGCTACATTACTGACTCGTGCCGACCTCTCCTGGGAACCGACCTCATCCATACAAAGACTGTCGGGCGCAAACGTTCACGCGCTGCAATGCGGAAGAACTCACCGATCGACCACCTACCATTGACACGTACCGATTCACCTCGTATAAGCAGTGCTAAATGCTAGAGGATCAGCATGCATGCTCTGTGTCATCACCTGCGAATCTTGCGAAAGACCCTGCAACAAAAGAATCTATAACCAGACCTAAACAAAACATCATCTTCAACCACGGCATCATCACGCCACACCCACACTGCCCCGTCTTTCCTTTGCGCCGGCGCCAAAAGAACAAGGGCACACTTGTGTATCCAACAAGATTGCACCAGCCTTCACCATTTGTGACTTTGAGTGCTGCCATATGTGTCCTTTCCAATTGGAAGAGAACTAGGATTCGGTTTCGACGCCGCAGCTGGGCCAACCACCTGGGCAAAGTAGGACATCTCTTCAACAGCAACACAAAGAAAAAAAAGGATAAACAACAACAGTAGATCATCGCGACGAGGAGGAAGAAGAAGTTCCATCTCAGCAAAACCACCAACCCCCCGAGGACTTCCCCGAGCAGTGTCGGTCGATCTTGAGACACCATAGCCCGCGACCGCAATGAAATCTAGGGATCCCCTCCTAGACGGAGGCAAGAGCCCCGCCTGACCGTGTACGAGGCCTGAAGAAACTTATTCATACGCGATGTCGCCGCAACGGACTCGGCAATGCCTCCATCAGCCCTAACCTTACCACGAACACAATAGACGCACAGATCCGAGATTCCCCTTCCCTTCCACCACCGGAGCACCCGGCGGAGGGAGATGGAACCAACGGAGGCACTGATGGAGCACAAAGGGAAGCCGCGGTCGCCTCCTTCTTGCCCTGCTATGATCCGCTTTCACTGGAGGTCGTTTTTCTGTCGCCTCGTACATATTATTTGCCCACTTGACGCGACCTTATGAGTAAGAGCATAGGCCCTCACCTGGTCTTTTATCCTTTAGTGACCTTATATTTTCTCTACTAAATAAAAACAGTTCTTAACCGAACCCCTAAATTTAACTCTAATTTTTTTCATCAAATCTTTCTAAATTTATAGTTTACATACTATATTTCAACTACATATTTGCACACATATTAAATCCAAAGATAATATTAAAGTTCACAAAACTCGTGAATATTAAAAGAATTAAGTTTACAAACCAAATTATTCAAAGTCAAACACACGAAAGGGTTCAAATGAAGTAAAGAGCATGATAAAAGCACAACTATGAAGTGCTATAGAGTAGCCACTAATGCTCAACAAGATCATCTTGGAGCATCTTGCTCCGGGTCAATAGAATCCTCATTGGAGATGTATTGAAAGTTCTCTGCCATGTCTCTCTCATGTCCAATGATCATGTAATGCAAGATGATGCAACATGTCATTATTTTCGATAGGACCTTGGGGTTCCAATACTCAGCAGGGCCCCTAATAATGCCGAAGTTCTTTTAAAGCACACCGAAAGCTCTCTCCACATCCTTCCTCATCGACGCTTGGCGCATTGCAACGTGAGATCTCTTGTTCCCTTCAGGACGCTGGATTGTCTTGACAAATGTGGGCCATGAAGGATAGATGGCATATGCAAGCTAGTAACCCAACATGTACTGATGACCATTGATAACATAGTTGCAAGGAGGAGCATCAATTGCAACAAGCCTCTTGCGAACAGTGCTCGAGAACACATTCATGTCATTAATTATGAGAGTAAGACAATCCAAAGAATGAAGAATGTTAAATCCATAGACCCAATCCAAAGAATGAATGTTAAATCCATAGATCCTCCAATGCAACGGCCTAAAAAATGATTGTTGAATCTTTGCAATGGCTTTTGTACTGACCTTTCCATCCCATGGGACAATTCGTCCATGTCCAGTGGGTGCAATCAATTGATCCAAACATACCATGCCATCCTAGTTCTTCATTCAATCCAAGAACCTCTCGGTGTCTTTCATTGGTGGGTGCCCTCAAATACTCTGGCCCAAAGATCTCAATCATGATTTTTGTGTACCTTCAAATGACCTCCAAGATTATATCTTCTCCATTGTGGACATAGTCGCCTATGGGCCAATGGTGTCAGCCCCATAGGAAAGCACTCGAGCAGCTGCAATAGACTTCATTAAAGGGTCCGCGCTTATATTCCATGATGATCTCCTCCTGAGTTTGAACTATTCATCATGATTCTCCA